AAACAAATTCTGAAAATGGAAAAAATAATAAAAAATTAGCGTACTAATTTTTGGCATTTGAGAATGCAAAATAAACAAAAAGAAAGCTTGAAAATGTAAAATCAAACAAAAATAGAAAGTCAATTCTGATGAATTAAATTATATTATATTCTATATTTTAAGAGAATTTTTTAAAAAATTGTTGTTTTTTGTTTTTAAAATCTAAGTAAAATGTACACTCTGGGCACACATAGCAGATAGATTAAATTAATAAATTTTATCTAGTTTTTTATTTACATTAATATAATAAAATGACATAATGAGTATATCGATTTAAATAATATCCGAATTTATTTCAGAAAAGTTATATTGTTAATTTTAATAAAGAAGTAAATTTCTATTATATGTTTTTAAAATAGATTGATAGTTTTGTTAATTTAATTAACTATGAATCATAAGCGAAAAATCAAAGGTAATATGTAAATATAATTAGAATTGAATATTTCGCTACATAAACGAAACAATTGGTGTTTATAGCATATTTAATGGTTATTAATTAAAAGTTTAGCTTTGGAATTATAGTGATTCATTTATATCTAAATAAAAAATGATTCTTTTTATAATATGAATATGCAAACTAAAATACGTTTTATCTTTTAATAAAAATATATCCTCTTATCTTTATCAAATAAAATCTATTCAAATTTTTAAATATAATCTTGAAAAAAATTATTCAATTTAGTTTTTAAAAAAAATTTTTTTATTACATACAACTGTGTTTTTAATTAAACATTAAAACATTTGTTGGAAAAATTGATGAATTGGAATTTTCAATAAATATTTCAATAAATATTTGCGTCTTGTGAATATATTAATATTGCAATTGAATTTTGAAAGTAATTTTGCTTATTCCCAATATTACGTGTGTTAAGTAATTTCGCGTTTTTTCACACATTTGCTTATTAGTCATTTCTACAAAGACTGTAATAGTCTAGAAGTTAGATGAAGTTTTGACGAATTATTGTTAAGTTGATATATAAGGTTCCGAACTTATGATGGTAATTCCCCGAATTCGGCATCAGTTAGTTTGGAAACAAAACAATCTAAATAATATGTTTATTATTTTGCTAAAAATATTGGAGATTTTTGGAGATTTTTATCTTTTGTAAAAACATTTTTCCTTAAAAAATTATTTATTTTATATTAGTTTTTATATTCGATGGTATATATCCGTTTTCGCTGTTATTCGGTGTACGGATTAATTAAATTTTCTATATACTTCATTTCTTTAAATCAAATGAAAGCTTGTGTATTTCTATATGTATTTCTACATTGTGTCTATTTTTAAATAAATCTGTTAATTATTAAATTGTTAAATTAGCTATAAAATTTAGTCTCAAAGCAACATAACTTCAAATATCAGGTATAGATTCTTGCAAAATCTTAAACTTTATATTCAATAAAGTTTTAATATGACTCATTTTGATCTCGCAGTTGCAACAAATTTAATTCTGTCTTTAAAATGTAATTATTTTTATGTGTTATATTACATATATATTTGGTGCGCCTTTTAGTTAATTCATATTAATCATACAAGGAAAGTAATTAATATTTATAAACCTTGTAAAATTAACAATAATATAATAGTAAAATGCATTTTAATTTAAAAAAATATCAATCAAGACCGTTGCTTGACATTCTGTAATTAAACGAAAAAGTTCATCAAATCTTATAATGCGTAAATATTTTTTATTTATTAATAAAAAAATGTTATTTAGTACTTAAATAATATATACTATGTATATGTATAAAGATTATTCACTAATATACGAATTAGAAGTAATAAAGAAGCTAGTGATATTTTAGCTGAGATCCTCTTTGGTGTCATTAATTACCAATTCAAAAAGAAATAGCAGTAATAATTTAAACTCAAAGAGGAATATACATAAATGAAATTTTATTTTTAAAGTTGAAATTTTATGAATTATTAATTTTGTAAAATTAAAAAAATTAGTTTGAAAATATTAGATTTAATGAAATTTTTATATAGTAACAAACAGATTAAGTAAATTGTTACCCTACGGATTCACCTTAGAATCTGATTACTAGAAATTATATTTCCAATTCGACACTACATTTAATAATAACATCCAATTCAATGATAAATTTTGGTATATATTAAAAAATAAAATATCTAAAGCTTAAAAATGTACGAAAGTAGTTAATTGCTTGAGAGTAAATAAATATTTATAAAAACTGTAAAATTAAAGTAGCCATTAAATAAAAACATACTGGAATTGAAAACTTATTTTAAATTGATATAAGTCTAGAACAACAAAACAGTAAGTAGATGTTTGCGCAAACCTAGAGTTTTTCTTAAAAATTCATTTTTTATTATTTTTCACCTTTTTACATAAACCACGCCCCCGCCGGTTTTCCAGTTAAATCTGACAGAATTATCGATTTTTTCTATTTCATTTTTTGGAAGTTTATTCCATCTATCTATGACTCTATGTGAAAAGAAATGATTATTCTGAGCTTGTTTCTTAAATATTTGATATCTATACAAGCGCGGATTATTTCTATTAGGTTTTGAAAATATTTGTTCTGACTAAATTATCGCGTTCTGACTAAATTATCGCGTTTCGCATCTTTCGCATTCTCGCATTTTTTGGCGCGAAAAGTTTCGCATTTCGCTTTTTATTTTTTGATTACGCCCAGCCCTGATATTTAGGCATTTTTGGCATATATATGCGCATATTTTGAGATTTTTCGTGCATATTATGACACGCCTTAATTATCTTAATAAAAACAATCATTAACTATATTTTTACTTCATACTTTATTTACCAAAATATATAAAATGGAAAATTTGCCATCTAAATTAATCTGGATCCCTGTTGCTAATTGCTCCTGTCCAATAGCTGAAAATAATTGCTATAAAAACAATTTTTAAATTTAAATTTAATTAAATACCTCATCTTATATGTAATATTTTGTATTATGAAGACTTATATGTAAACAAGCAAACAAATGAGAGTGATGTCATTCTAAATAAAAATTATTCTATTCTTTGTCCTTTATATTAAAATATAAAAATTTTTAAATAAAATTTAAAACATATCAAGGATAAATATAAATTAAATATAAGTTAAATAAAGAAAATAAATAAATAAATACATATTAATTAACATAACACATTTGAATTTGTTGGAAGATGCTTTTATGTTTTTATTTGTACAACGCAACTATTGATTTGCAATCAATACTCATATAACAGAAATGTAGATCAGGGATTGAAAATGTTAAAACTAATTAAGATGCGGGTACAAAATAACCAAGTAAAAGCGCAGCGGTTGAAAAAAAATTGCAAAACGTTGAAATTTCAGATATGTAATTTTAAAAATGATAAAATTTAAAACTACAATATTTACTAATACTCTTGATACAAAATGTCAATTTACAAATTTAAAGATTTTCTCAAAGTTCGTTAATTTAATAATTTATAATTTGTTAATTAATAATTCATAATTTAATAATTCGTTAACTTCTGAACCTAATACAAAAGTACAAACAGAGTAATACAGAAGATAAATAATATTTTATTTTATGTTATATCTCTATGAAATTTTTATCTTTCTATGGCAAAAATAACCCGTCAATGAATTCTAATTATGGATTATCATTTATTATTGAAAACATCAATCTCATATGTTAGAACAATCTACTACATAGATGTTTTGCTCCAATGATTTTGTAATATAATAATAGTAGATATTTATTGGAAATGTCTAATAAATTTGATTTTATTTAATTCCATTGCGAGCGAGAATAAAATTTAAAAAATCGTTAACATTATTAAATTTCAAAGTAAAATTTTTAATAAATTAATTTTATAAATCAGAAAAATAAAAAATATTTTAGAAAAGCAAATCTGCAAAAATGATGCTCAAAATTATTCACCCGGTGTTTTTCTTAGATTATTGTTAGATACGTTAAAAATATAAAGATAAAATAAACAATTAATTAAGACATAACTGTCAACTGGAATAAATTAAAATATTTTTTGAAATTTGCAAACATTTATCAGTATTTATTAGTTTACCTCCTTGATATTCATGAGACGAGAATAAGCGTTTTTGAATTTCATTGGTGGAAAGTATCCTGTACCAAAAAAAAACAAAATCATAAATTATTTATGTAAAAAATTTATTTTCCAAAATGGCTCTTTTATTTAATAAATGAAAAATAAAATAATTGGAAAGGGAAGGGAAAGAAAATTAATCTAAACATTCAGAAAAATGCTGATAAATAAAAAGAATAAAGAAAAGACTGAATAATTTTTTTAAGTAAAATATAAAAAAGGAGAAGCAAAATAATAAATCGTAATAAATCAATGTGCCGAATATGGCAATTTGTTATATACTCAAGACCCCTAGACTCAAACACTAAAACTTATTTAAGAAGAAAAAATTTATTTAAATTAAATTAAGATCCAAATATATAAAGGGTAGGGGAAAAGGGAGAACAACAGGCTGGTAGTTCAGAAAAATAAGTGACAGTTCAGAAAACTAAGTGACAGTTCAGAAAACTGACTTTTCTGTTAAAAGTCGCATAGTTAAATAGGGAAGAAGCTGGGCGGTACAAAGCACAAATATTTGAAAATAATGAGAAATAAGTGAATGGGTGGAACCGATAAATAAAATTAAAAATAAATAAAATAAATAATTTCGAGGCAAAATTGTGCCGGTTCGGCACATTCCCCTCTGCGAGAAAAAAGAGGAAAGGGGGAAGAAAAATAAGAGTACGAAATAATCACAATGTAACGTATTGATCATCGGCTCTTCAAATTCTTCTTCCTCGGATTGATTGCCATCGTTGAGTTCGATTCCATCACGCATTCCATGAGAAACTGGTTGAACATGAGGTCCTTCTCTACACCCGCTGAGGATGCAGAAACAAGGTGTGGCCTTAGGGATACTCTGATCATTGCTATAAGGCCAAGATCGCTTTCGATCTTAATGGGTTGCTTGGAGTTAGAGGGCACTGGAGGCCGAGAATACACTTGGCTTAACAGGACGGCGGCTGGTATTGCTGGAGGCTTCGGACCTGGGGATAAGGTTTCATTACTTTCAATTTCTGTGGGATTAACTTCGGCTCTACGCCGTGTAGATCTTTCATATTCTTTTCGGTGCTTTCTCTGAAGCATAAATTCAAAATCTAATTTTTCTGAGGTTTCCTCTTTCTCTTTATTTCCCCCCAAAGCATTATCCTTACAGGTTTCCAACCCAATATTTTGTTGTTGTGAAGGTAGTTGCATTACTTGTTGTACACTTTTCTGGTTGTCTACATTGTTGGGTGCAGACAGAGGATTCAAAATAAAATTAAATATTGGTTGCTGTTGTTCTGGCGTTCTATCAATTTCCAAAATTTTCTCACTTTTTGATCTATTTTCTGATGTTTTCTTTTCTTTAAATTCCCAAATACTTTCCTTGATTGTTGATACAATATCGCTGCCAGAATCCAACCATTCACTCAAAAAATCAAAATCCTCAATTGTATCTGGTTTGCCCAACTTTTCACAATAAGCTTTTCTTGTAGATTGCTGTTTAGCTGTTACGAAATTTTCTGTAGTAAAACTTGTTGTTGGGTAAGGAAACACGGAGGACAACCGCGATAGGTTAGGAAACAAACAAAGAGTATGTCTCTTGATAAAAATCGGCTCTATAGCCACAACTGGGAATGGTTGAATGCTCCGAGCTACTAATCTCGGTGGAAGGCTTCGCTGAGCCAGTAAAAAACATTGAAAATATTTCTTTAAATTTAAAATAAAAGGTACTTGTGCTGAAATAGCTGGAGGGGAATTGTAAGGGCGACTAATGATAGTACGTCCTCTGGCAAAATTCTACCGCCTAGCCATTTACTTATTCTTGTCTCTGCTTTAATAAAGGGAGTGCTTATTCGCCCAAATTTTTGGCGTTCTTTCTTTTGTAACTCAAATATTTCCTTAGGGCTCTTGCCCAATCTTTTCACATAACTTTGGAAGAGCACTAAGCTCTGCTCTGAATTTGGTAGCTCTGCTCTGAATCTGGCGGACTATTACTAATTAATTTGTGTAAATAAATTTTTTGAAAAATTCTGGTGGGGTCTGGTAAAACTTTGTGGTTTGGGTCTCTGACCCCTTCCCCACTTCGCAAAAAATTAAATAAAATGATGGGAATAAAAAATGCTAATTTGCTTAAAAATTTGAGTTTAAAACTAATGATTAAGGTAATTATACTGATTATCAAAATAAAATAAATGGATATGAAATTTCTGTTTATTAAAGTCTTGTTTATGGATTTAAATGCCTTAAAAGGTATATCAGGTGGAATTTTCTTCCTCTTGATGGTCTGCTCATCTCGGTAGACTACTATTTGGTCCTTGTGGTCACAGCTAACGTTTATTATAAATGTCAGAGAAATTAAAATGAGTGTGATTCCATATCCGGCTAGGTTTTCCTGGGTAATTTCTCTTGACTTCTCTAGTCTTTTCTTGGCTCCGTGAGCTTTCTCGTCTAATACTTGTTTAGGAACTATCTTTTCTGGTAATACTGTATGTGAAACTTTAACTTTCTCTATTAAAGGGCGATAGGTCACCCCATGGAACTTAGTAAATTTTCTGTCGGTTTGGTGCCATCCGACAATTAAAAATGCTGATTTTAAGTCGGCGGTTGCTATGAATTTGGGAAATTGGAAACACAATATAAGTCCTACAAACTCTGGTAGGATTACTGGTTCCTTTACATGACAATCACTGAGAAATGCTTGACTCTCGGGTTGGACAATCACATCCAAGGCTTGTCGCTTGATATGCGCACTAACCACACTGTGGGTCAACTGCTCCTGGGCGACTGGTTTATTAAGTTCGAGTCTGGTAATTCTATTATCTTTCTCTATCTGGAACTTGTGATAAGGCAAATCTACTTGTTTGGTTATTATATTATCTTTCTCTATTTGAAACTTGTGGTAAGGCAAATCTGATGAAAGATTCAAACTTTCACAGCTAGGAGAATCACTATTATCTTTGAGACGGGTAATCTGATCGTCGTCAACTGTTGACGTGTTCTCTTTAACTCTATTATTCCCTTGTATTTGCTTTTCATCTTTCTCTTTAACTTTTTTACTCATCAGTAACTTCTCTGATTGAGGGCGAATATCTGGCTCTGTGCCAACCTCTGGTTTAACTGTTTCCTTGTTAATAGTAAATAATGTCATTATCTTGGGCCGGACTGGTGACGGCTCTGTAAATTTCACAACTTTTGGAACTGGTACACGTTCCTGAACTACAACCTTCTGAGCTGGTTGAATGTTGGTCTGAACAGGTGGGGTCTCTCTAACTTGCTGTACTTGGTGTTGTACTGACGACGCTTTATTTGAATTAATAACTGGACTCCGATTCTGGCCTAAAGCCATCTGGGTGATTTGCTTTTCTGGGTAATAATTATCTTCAGCTGGGACTAGAAAATCCTGATTATTTTCAAAAATTCTCGTGCATACTAACACGTGATGGTTCCCTTGACATTGGGCACAAATCTTAGATGAAGGACACTCTCTGGCGAAATGTCCTTCTCCCAGACAACGGGAACAACGTCTCTGTTCTTTCAATCTCTGGAAACGTGCCTGAGGTGTTGAATAACTAGGGCATTCACTCGGTAAATGAATCCTGCGTTGCACAGTGAACAATTTCTTTTGCCTTGAGGGGGCAACTGTCTGCTTTGAATAGGTCGTGATTGGGTACAAAATGAATGAAATTGTTCGGTATGTCCTGTTCTAGGACGGTAATCATTTCTCTGATGTACGGGAGGGACGATAGGATCTCCATGATGTCTCACTTTGAGTTGTGAAAATCGCCTAACCTCCTCACTGATCTCAACTAGGTTACATAACTCTTGTCTAAGTCTGGTACTGTCCCATCTGACTTGGGAATATCGTTCCTTCTCAATTAACTTGGCAACTATAGATTGGGGTAGCTTGGTTTTGATAACTGTGGAAACGAATGGGGACTGATCCATCGCTCCAAATGCCTCTAACTGACGGCATATTCTTTCCACCGAGTCAACGAATGCCCTTAAGGAATGGCTGGATTCGTTGGGTGGGGTAAGTTTCATAAGCTCAGCCTCTAAAGCCTCTGTGATGGCCCGGCTATTTCCATAACGTGATTTGAGCAAATCTAAGGCTCGGTCATAATTCTCATTGGAAAGGACAAATCCAGCTACTAATTCCTTAGCTGAACCTTGAAGAAATGCGAGAAGATAACTCATTTTCCTGATATTATCCATGGGACGGGAATCTATATTCGCTGAAAAAAGTTGCCAAAAGGTGGTCCACTTCTTGGGATCTCCATGGAAGGGATCCATTTTAAGCTCTGGGAGCCTAACCTCTATCGGTTGGTACTGATTATTCTGCTCTAACTTAAAATTCTGATTTTTCTGCTCATAAACATGTTCTGATTTATCTGTGAGGGTGGCTTGGCTACCTTGGCCAGAAGGCACACTTGTCTCCTCTAGGAGGTAATCAATCTCATTTATTACCCCCCTGGCCCTTTCAGCCATATCCATAAAATGATTATATTCCTGATCGTCTCCCGCTGCTCGGGGCAAAAATTCCTGATATACTTGCTCCTCATGCTCGAGGGCTTCTCCCACTAGGGTATCATAAACTCTGTCCATCGAACGTGTAAATCGTCGACTCTAACTAGAGCTCGACTCAAATGAAAACGCGCTGCACGTAAGGACTCTTGATTCTGAACTTCTCCCTCTACGGGAGCTAAAGCTTGTATTGCGGGCGTTAGCTGATCCCTCAATGCTTTGAGCGCTAACCCCAGTTGTCGTCTGATAGACCCTGAGGATGCCATAATTTGCTGTTTGACTTTGACTTGCTAGACGATAGGATTTGACTTGCTTGTATATCTCCGGTCTGGACTGACCGCGTTGAAAAATGTTTTTAAAAACCTGGTACTATCTGTGGCGACTTTAACCGGCACACAGAATTTTGAAAACTTGGTACTGTCTGTGGGGACTCTAACCGACACACAGAGCTTTGAAAACTTGGTACTGTCTGTGGGGACTCTAACCGGCACACAGACTTGTGAAAACTTGGTTCGGTTACTCTTAACCGAAAACTTAAAGTTCGGCTATCTGAGCCGTGAAGAAGTTACTGTAAATTGATTCGGCCTTTGCCGAGCAGAAAATTTTAAAAAATTTAAGTTTATAAAAAATTATTTATTTTTCCAATAAAAAAATGCAAAAAGAGATGACACACCAGATGTGTGTTTATTCGGCTATCTGAGCCGTGAAGAAATTGTTCAGTAAAAAACCCCCTTTAAGGTTTTTTCTTTCATTTCTAACTTTTTAGAAAAATTCGCTCTCTTAGCGATGAAAAAATTTTATTTTTATAAAAATAAACAACAAAAGATTATCTTTTGTTTTTACACCAGAAGTGTGTAAAATATACAAAAGAAGGGAAAAATGGCCTATGTTGCCTGCTTATGTAATTTGTAAATGCACAAAAATGTGCAATGTTTATTTTGATTTGGCCTGTACTTTGGCCAAAAAAAACAAAGAAAAACTTATTTCTATTTATGAATAGAGAGGGGAGAAAATGGCGCAATCGCCAGATGTGCAATGCACAAAACTAAAATATGAAGAAAAAGCACGGCTCTCTGATTGGCCGGCCAAAATGACAGTTTGAGTCTGGGAGGGGTCACTTGAGTATGGGATGTCCAAAGGGTACCTGGTACCGACACTTGGACTATAAGCTGATTTTATTAAACGATGGGCACTTTGGGGCCGGCAATCGTTAAAGGTAAATGATTAGGCTAACAAGGGGCACTCTTGGCCGGCACTTGCTAGAAAAATATAGATAAAATAACGATGGGCACTTCTGGCCGGCAATCGTTAAAGTTAATCACTGAAATAAACTGTTGGCACTATTGCCAAAAAATACTTGCTGGTTGGTAAAAGGTTCGGCTCTGTGCCGAGAAGATTATCAGTGGGTCGTTCCCACTCGATAACAAAAGCTTTTAAAGAACGGTGGGCACTATTGGGCCTGCTACTCGTTCTGGGGCTAGGGATCCACTGATCGGCTCTAGCCGTGATGACTGTAGAAACGGGTATTCACTGACCCGTACGGGGCTCCAATTTTTATGTGCCGAATATGGCAATTTGTTATATACTCAAGACCCCTAGACTCAAACACTAAAACTTATTTAAGAAG